GAAATGGTCCTTCCCAAGACTGGCTTGGGAAAGGCCTGTCAAACTTCTTCAGAAGTTCCACATCTATCCAGTTATGAAAGAAAATATTTGATGTATCCCGAAAAATGAAGCATAAATCAAAAAGGTTCAAAGGCATGTTTAAAAACAACACAAGCCCACATGCATTCTCTGAAATTTATACTGCAACGCTTTCTGTTTAGGTGAGTTCGGATCCATGAATAAATTGTCCCCCCACCTGTATGATATATGGCTAAGGTCCCTTATTTATAGACTCTTTCTGCTAAGAGTACAAAATGGCAATATAGATGCTGAGTTGCACCACTGGAATCTCAACAAAGAGAATTAAACTGATGTTGCCAGTCTTTTTTTAAAAACTCTCTTACCACAAGATAGGCTTGTATATAAAATAGGAAAAGCATTATCTGAAGTGTATCCAAGTGTGTTCTGAAACATCTTGTCTGGAAGGACAGTTTTTACAGTGAATGTATGTGATGATGTGCTCCTTTTTCAGCACAAGTGAAGTCTTGTCCTGTATCTCATAAAATGTGATTGCATACAAGATGCTGATGGCCTAGAGGAATTTTTTTAAATAATGGAGTCTCATTACCAAGATGCTGCTAAAGAAATAAGACTTGATTTGTTAACTTTTAGCAGCGTCATAGAGAAATGTCAAGGTGAAGAGTGAATTTCAGAGGGAATGTGTAGGAAACCCATTTGTGAATTTACCGTAGGAATAAAATACCTAAGGCTTTGGAGGACAGTTAGGCTGTCCCCCACACACTTACCAGGAATGAGTCCCACTGAACTCAATAGGTGTACAGTTGTACCTTGGTTCTCAAATGCCTTGGTACTTGGACGTTTTAGCTCCCAAATGCTGCAAACCCGAAAGTGAGTGTTCTGGTTTGCGAACATTTTTTTGGAAGCTGAACATCCGGCATGGCTTCCACAGCTTCCAGTTAAGTGCAGGAAGCTCCTAACCCTAACCCTAACCCCCCAGACACCTGGGAACAAGTGGGTTTTTCTCTTAAAGGAGTAGTCAAGTGATGTTCATTATCACACCAGTCACCTGTCCTGTCTCCAATGGATAAACTGACCTTTGTGGTGATCTTGGCATGTTGAATATAAATGCTTCAAGCATGTACTTGGATCGTAAAGCCACTCTGTAAACCTTCAAAAAGCGAGTTAAATCAGGATGTGTCAGGTTAAGATCTGAACATCTGTTGAAATATTATGTTGACCTCAACATACGAAAACTTCAATGTGACTTTAGTGTGAGAGTTGGCCCTTTGAGAGCATAGGAATTTTTTTTACAAAGATGACTGTTTCTGATGGGTGCTTCAAACAGTCTGCACATAAAGGCTTCAAAACAGTCAGATGCATGTATCCATGTAAAAGCATTTAATGAAACACACACACATCTATAAAGCTCAATGTTTTGTTTTGTAGTCTTTTCCTCTTTCTCCATGTATCTCCTGGCCATAGTTTCCCAATAATTGCTTCCTATAGGAAAGCCAATTAAAATTACACAAAGCCAGCAGTGCTTTTTGGGAACACCTCTTCAGGAAAACTACTTCTACAGCTCCACTGTCTCTACACCTCCCACACTGTCAGTGTCTCCACATTTCCCCTCAACATGTTAACTGTATGCACTTTTACATTTCACGTTCAGCATACTGACCGGTGCTACATCCTTAGCAAACCACCTTTATTGCCCATCCCGGACGGATCTCTCTAAGCTCTGTGGTAAAAACTGATGAATGTTCAGAACTATGTCTGGAAGGACAAAGCTCCTAGTTATTACCTTTCATAATCCGTGAGCTTGCAAGTCTGCAAGAGAAACCATTCCAGTTGCAATAAAACCTTGGGCCATGTGGCAACAAGATATGATGGAGGAAAAACTAAGGGGCTGAATGACAAAAGAGGGCTGGTATCTGAGCTCCCCAAAGTTCAGTGAACCAAGTACTCCATCAGTGCAGTGGGATGTTTAGAAAAGCAGTCAAAGCTTGTGGTATGGATAGCTACATATGAACCCTCCTCCCTCCACCATGTGGTCTTTGTTTTCAGTGCCACTTTGTAACAATTACAGATGGAGAAGGAGCATTTATACAGTGGTACCTTGGGCTACAGACACTTCAGGTTACGCGATTTCGCAACCCGAGGTTTCACTGTACAAAGTTGGAGGAGCTTAATGTAGCATGGTGGCAGCAAACTTCTTTGAGTAGTGAGTTGCTAAAGATGAGCGGTTTCTCTGCAATGGCTGGCTGAAAGTGGCCACCACGTCAAGATAACTAAACAGTATGCCCCATTTACCATATTTTTTCCGTCCATAAGATGCCCCCTATTTTTGGGGACTCAGATTTAAGAAAATGGGGAGGAGATGGCCCTGTGCATAAGACACCCCCTAATTTTTGACATTATTTTTTAGGAGGGGTTAACCTACTCCTATACATGGAAAAATACGGCACACGTGTAAAATGCCACTTGACATTTTGCTTCCCTCTTAAGGGACCACAACAAATGTGTACAATTAAAGTTGCAAGAAATTAGGTTATGAGCTACAGAAATATGCATAGTCTAAATAAATGCAAGCATGAATGATATAGCTCTAGGTCTGAGCTGAGGACAATATGGCGGATAAAGCTTGTGGTAAGAAACAAATCTAAGGTGCAAAATAATTTTGTAGATAAGTCCTGTCTCATAATTCTTGAAATGAAACCTCAACTTTTTTTTTTGAGGGACCGTTTGTGTGCATAATTCGGCATTCAGCATATTAGCGTTGTGCTATTGATATATTCTAGGTGTTGGAAAGTTGTTCTCTTTAGAAACGTATTTGAGAAAAATGGCAAATTCCTTCTAATGATTCCAGCTCTTTGTGTCTCTGCCTCCTACCCTCTTTTCCTACCTTCATTCATTTTGCCGATTTCCTTTTTTGCTTACTGTCGGGTACTATTAAAGCCCTGGAAATGTGCTCGAATGCCTTTGTAAAAAGTTTTACACGTATGCTAAAGGCAATTTCTTACAGACTTTAATGCTTCCATCCATACAGGCAAAAGAAGAATTACCTTGCCTGGGAGAGCAGCCACATTTGCTGTGCAAGAGGGTGCTTCTTCAGCTGCTTAGTTGCTAGAACAAGAACTGCTGAAGCTTTGTGCCTGGGAATTCCAGATTTGCAAGGGCTCCTTGCACTACCTTTTATACTCAGGTAAAAGTATGAATCACATATTTAGCTGGTCAGTTTTGAGGTGGCCGCCTATGCAGAAATTGCCACTTTTACCTTCAGAAAACATACTTCTGTATGTATAAAATTTTAAAGGCCATCTTAAGAAGTCAAGTATTTCTCTGAAGGAGGAGCATGTGGTTAATCACCACATGCACTTGCCTACCTAACCTTAACTATTGTTCTGATATTAGTAAGCATCGAAACATTGTGCCTATTTGTGCTGAGACTTCAATCCAATTCAAATGATCGGTGAACTTGTACTGAGCCTCTTTATTTCCAGTCTTGGTACCTCGTCCCTTGTCTCCTTTTCCTTTTGCGTTGTGACTTTTTGACTCCAAGGTTTCTGACAGGGACGGTCTTGTTTTAACTGATTGTATGTAAGCAGCTCCAGGAGCCTCAAGAGCAGGTTGCAAGTGCTGTACATGGTAGTAACAACAATAATAAAGGTGTGTCCTTATGGTAAACTGGTCGTGGGAAACCACTTCAGGTTTTCAGCCTGGTGTACAAAATTGTGCCCCGTGCTTATGATGAACTGCTTTCCTCACATAAGTACATTTTGGCTGGAAACAAGAAGTAAACAGATCAGTCAACTGACTCACTTAAAAAATGGAACGAAATCTGTCTGGTGTGTGATGATTGAGATGTTCTGATGACAATAAATTTCTAAGCGGTGTTGTCACTGTTGTTAAGGGGCATCATCAGCTGTGTCAGCGTCACTCTGAGTGGCTCTGCAGCTTCAAGGTGGGAGAAAGTAGGCAAAATGTTCAAGGGAGGCATTGGTCAGGTATCGTCTTTGCATGACTCAACCCAAGTAGTGCTGCTTGAACCATAAGGACACTGGCCCACTGGGATAGGTAGAAGGTTTTTAATGTATGATGGTTTGCTGTGTTTTTTATGTTGGAAGCTGCCCAGAATGGCTTGTGCAACCCAGTCAGATGGGTGGGGTATAAGTAAGTTGTTGTTGTTGTTGTTGTTGTTTAGCCTGCCTTGAGTCAGGAGGCATCTACTCAGGCAGCCCAAAGATAGGGTTAGGAGAATAGAATGACTGACCAATCAGGCATTATCAAGTGTTGACCGATTTGGAGATACTTGAAACAGATGCCTGTCTTGGCCCCATGACACCGGAGTCCTCAGGGCAAGCTTTTGATAATGCCCTCAGAGTAAGGCAAGTGTACTTCAGTTTCCTGCAAGGCGTGCATCGCCCTCAACATTTCCTCCTGCCATTCAGAAACAGCCAGCCATTCAACCCCCCTAAAGTATATCGAGCACAGACTATATACCCTGTACATGTTCAATATTTATGTGGAGAACAGATTCGTTTACATAGTATCCCGGCAATTCCTGCGGCGGCGAGGCGGATTTATAATCTGACACTTGCCAGATCATAAGAGCAGGATCTGCCAAAAAAGAGAGACTGTCTGTCATCATCAGCCTGGAAGCCTTCCATGGACTCGGGAGCCCGGCTGGAAGAAACACACATCTTCGCTGGAAACGGCGAAGCTCCTGCCGACCCATTGCCCAGAAGAAGAGTGATGACTTGGGGAAGGAGCCGCAGATTTCCAGAGAGTGTCTCGTCCTGTTGCCCGAAGCGACTTCATTCACACTGCGCGAGAGCCCCGAGGAAAGCTCTCTAACCTCTCGCTCTTTCTTCCTTCTCCTGGGATTTGCTCAGCTTGGCAAAACCCCTTTAAAGTGGTTCGTGCGGTTTGGTTAGTTAGACACACACACACACTCGCCCGCGCGCTCCCCCTTCCCCTCTCTCTCCCGACAGGAGCTCTGTCAGTTCTCTCTTGAGGGCTGTGGGTAGTTCCCAACCCACAGACCTCGAGCGAGCAGCCGAGCGCGGGACCGCCAGCTACAAAGCCACCGCCTCGCGCTCTTTCCTCCTCACTCGCCGAGAGGCGCGCACGCCAGCAAGAGCCGCTCGCTGGCTGTCCGGGCTCGGGAGCCTCGCCAGGTCTTCCGAAGTGCGCAAAGCGGCGCCGAGGAGAGACTTTGGGCTGCCTGCAGGTGCTTGGGAGCCGCTTGGAGACAAGGAGTTGGCTCCCGGCGTCGCCGGCGTCTTCCTTCCACAACAATCCTTCTCTCTCTGTGTCTCTCAGCTGCAGCAGCTGCTTCTGCTTCTCTTCCTCAGCGTCCTTCCCTCTGCGATAACCTGGGCGCGAACTGCTGAGGGGGGAGAAACCAGAACAAAAAAAGACCCGGCGAGGCGAGAGAGCGAAGCCAACCAGAGGACCCGGCGCGAGGAGAGTTTGGGGCGGCGAGAGTGTGAAGGGAGCGCCGAAAGGACGCCAGGAACCGGAGTCCCCGCCCGCCCGCCCGCTCTCCTCGCCTGCCCTCGTCCTCAGCCGCCCGCCGCGCACGGAAGGGAAGAGTTGCGCTCGCTGAGGGCGGCGATGGCAGCGAGGCGTCGCGGCGGCGCCCTGTTGAGCGGAGCGCACCGGGCGCCCTGAAGAGTGGAGCTGGGCGCTGCCCAATCCGCGCTCCGCGGGGGGTCCGGCGGCGGCCCCTCCCCCCGCCCCCTTTTCCCGCCTTCCTCCCACATGGGGCGCCAGGAGGAGGCTTCCCTCGGCCGCCGGGGCGGCTCTTAGGGAGTGCGATGGGGCGCCTCGCAAAGTGACACCCGCAGCGGCTGCGGCAACAGCGAGCGAGGAGAAGAGGAGGAGGAGGAAGAGAGAGAGCAGGCGGGGTGGGGAAAGAGAGAAAGAACAGGAGGGCAAGCAGGCAGGCAGCAGCCGGGCAAGCTTTTTCCCCTTCTTCCCAAGGCGGTTCTCCGTCTTTTTTCCCGCCTTGGCTGCTCTCCTGGGGAGCTTCTCCCATGCCTTCCCGGCCCCGGCGGGGGGCGGCGGCAGCCCCGGCGCAGGAGGAGCCGTCCCTGTGGCTCCTTTGATGTCCCTGGCCGAGAAGCGGGAGGCGAGCTTCTCCTTGACGCCCATGATGATCGAGGAGGACGCGGCGCTGAGGAACGGCAGCAGGGGGCTCTCGGGCCAGTGGGCGGACGCGGCGGCCGTGCGGCCGCGCACCACGGAGCGCCACATCACGGTGCACAAGCGCCTCGTGCTGGGCTTCGCCATCTCCATCCTGGCGCTGCTGGTGGTCACCATGATCGCCGTGCTGCTCAGCGTGCGCATCGAGGAGTGCAGCAGCAGCAGCACTGGCGGGGACGCGGACGGCCCAGCAGGCAGGGCGGGCAACCGGAGCGTCCCGGCAGGAGCAGCAGCAGCAGCGGCAGCCGCCGCCTCGGCAGGAAGTGCCCGCCGCAACCATCCCAGCGCCGGGGAGCCCCCTGGCCGCGGAGGAGGGGAATCGGAGGCGCCTGGAGGGGAAGAGGCGGCGGCGGAGGAGGAGGAGTGGCAGAGGCGCCGGGAGCAGCCGCCCTGGACGCAGCTGCGCCTGCCCGGGCACTTGCGCCCCCTGCACTACAACCTGATGCTGAGCGCCTTCATGGAGAACTTCACCTTCAGCGGCGAGGTCAACGTGCAGGTCGAGTGCCTCAACGCCACGCGCTACATCGTGCTGCACGCGCACCGCATGCACGTCGAGGCGGCCCGCGTGGCCGAGGACCGGCTGGCCGGAGCCCTGCGCGTCTCCAGCTTCTTCCTCTACCCGCAGACGCAGGTCTTCGTGGTCGTCCTCAACCGGAGCCTGGAGGCGCACAGAAGTTACAACCTCAAGATCATCTACAGCGCGCCCATCGAGAACGAGCTGCTGGGCTTCTTCCGGAGCTCCTACGTGCTCTACGGCGAGAGAAGGTAGGCAGCCCGCTCCCGCCCTTTCATCCCTGCTCCTACTACCGCTACAGTATTTCCCTGCCTGTGTTGACTCAGCGCACGAATCCATTTGCCCCAGGTACCATCCATAAGGGATATCCCCGCTCCCCGATTTATTCCCTATAAAAATGGAAACCATAGGAGCCCCCCCCCCCTTTCTCTCCTGGTATCCGCAACAGCTTGATTTTCAATCCGTAGTTTTCATTAAAGCCCTTTATTTAAGAGAGTAGTTTTTTTTATGACTGTTCCTGGGGAATGGATTTTCTGAGCATCTCAGAAAAGGATACTTTTGCAAAAGTTTTCCCCATCATAACTTAAATGCTATCCTCCCCACATTCCATATTTAGGCTTGTTAGGTTCCTATATGTGCATCTAAAACTCATCCCACAGATGTGATATTTATTTATCCACCGGCTTTTAAAGTACATATATATCTCTTAACTTCCTTGCCAGAAGAGAGGCAGATAGTGGTGGGAAGCTAGGACCCTGCAATCTGGAGGCAGGACGAGCAAAATGTTGGATCTCCCTTATAGACTTACCGGACTCTTTATGTTATAGATCTTACAGCTGACACTTCTGCCCTTTAAGATGTTTTGATTCTGAGACACAAAGAGAGAAGGTCTCCTGGGATGTGGCCAGCGCATAGAAAGGCCACCAGGGCTCTCCTTTTATTCTTCTGCACCTGCCTTTGCATGCTGGGGTCCCCATGCCACTGCCCCTGCTTTTGTGTCGCAGGAAGGCAATGTCAGAGCAGAGGAATTCATAGTACATCAGAGAGACCTGCCCTGGGAAGAACCACAAATAAAAAGCAGGCAGTCCTGCATAGTTAATTCTCCCATGGTGTGGGTGGCACTGGCTTTTATAAAAGCATGAAAGGCAAGATTTCTCATTTTGGATCACTTGATAAGCTGATTTGCCTAGGCACCGGGCAACATCTATGATATGATACTGACAGGACCTGAGAACCACTTGCAGCTGGCATTCAGGATTCTGGAAAACCAGTACTTGGCTAGCTTTGCCACTTTCTCCTGCACTTCAGCGTAATTTCCTCCTACCACATTTAATCCCCTTATTTTTCTCTCTCTCAAATAGACACTCTTCACTTTCTCTCATTGGTACAATCAACAAACAGAAAAACTGATAAAAATGGAAGAACAATGCTTTTTTTTTAAAAAAAAAAAAACTAAACTAAACTAAAAAGAAGATAGATTTGGAGAACTTAAAGTTTTAAGTTACTAATGAGGGACTTCCCACAAAATGGGCTACTTGAACCATAGTGTACTGAAGATAGATTTTGTGATGCGTGTAAGATTCTAAAAGCAGTTCACTGCAGTAACCTGGCAACTTAGGTGCCAGCTTTATGTTACTGTAAAGCCATGTTTAAGGAAGCCATTTGAAACCTGTGTTTGCAAGGTGGGGGCTGGGGGAGCAGCAGCAGAAGATGGAAGCTTCAGCAGAAGAGTCGCTGGTGGGAGGTGGGTTAAGCAGTCGCTTCTCTGCCATGTGCAGATCCCACCCTCCCAAGAGAAGTCTGCAAGTGAGAAGGGGGAGTTGGGGCTTCTCTACTGGGATTAAATGGGTGCTTTGCCCCTTAATCAACTAAGACGAAACCTGGAGCCTGCATTTTAAAGTTCCTTAAGTGTTTATCTGGCTCTGCTTATATGAACTTACATATCAAATGATACATGAATCAGCAACTTTTCCTCATATGCTACAGTCAGAGGGACAGGCATGTTTTAACTTTGAGCTCTCCAACAAAATAGTAATGTACAGTACACTAAGAGCTGAATGTAATCAAATTATAACATGGATCTGATTCACATTATTTGTAGAAATGTAAACAGAATTCATAGAACTGGCTTTCCTTTCATAAGAATGGGACTTAAAGAGACTTTTCACCTGTTTGCCTTCTGGCTGGGTTTTATTAACAGAGTATGAGGCAACTCTGAGAGCTTTGTGTCTCTTCTGGTTGTGAGACACCGCATACACACAAGTCTGTGTAAGTGCAGGCTTAGGGTTTTTATTCATGCAGCAAATCAAACATGGAAAGCTAGGCTCTAGTTTAAAGGAAGCAAGGCTGGTTTCCTGCTAGCTTTGTTAGCAGAGATCTATACTGAATTTATTTTTAAACTGCTTGTCATTGAAAATCCAACCACAGAATCTTATTCTGTAAACCTCATCATTTCTTTGAGAGTCCCTGCTGAGCAAATGGTTTACTTAAGCAATTGGCACCCAGAAAGTAAGAAGACTGTCTTTCAGCTCAGTTATGCCAATAGCCTCATCTTTAAGCATGCTAATGTTATTGTTGTTTAGTCGTGTCCGACTCTTCGTGACCCCATGGACCAGAGCACGCCAGGCACTCCTGTCTTCCACTGCCTCCCGCAGTTTGGTCAGACTCATGTTTGTAGCTTCGAGAACACTGTCCAACCATCTCGTCGTCTGTCATCCCCTTCTCCTTGTGCCCTCCATCTTTCCCAGTGTCAGGTCTTTTCCAGGGAGTCTTCTCTTCTCAAGAGGTGGCCAAAGTATTGGAGCCTCAGCTTCACCATCTGACCTTCCAGTGAGCACTCAGGACTGATTTCCTTAAGAATGGATACATTTGATCTTCTTGCAGTCCATGGGACTCTCAAGAGTCTCCTCCAGCACCATAATTCAAAAGCATCAATTCTTTGGCGATCAGCCTTCTCTATGGTCCAGCTCTCACTTCCATACATCACTACTGGCTAATGTTATTACATATATATTAAAAACTCAGTGTTATAATCATGGTCCATGTTAGGATTTTGTCTAATCCACCGTAATGGCTGATATAAAATGTTTTCTTGGCAGAGTTAAGTTTCAGGGAAGGTGCTACTATGTTGAATCTTTTATTGCATGAAGATCAGAGTGGGGAAGATATCAACAGTCTTTCTCAGAAACTTTTCTAAGTGATTTATTTGTATAATAGTATATCGCCTCACCACTAAGATATAAAGCATTTACTTGTATTATTTTCAGATTGGCAAAAAGATCTTGGTTAACTGTGAAATACAACAAGAAGAAAAGAAATGTAGCAAAATTTTAATAGATCAGTATATTTAGTACATAAATTTTACAGCATAAAGTCTTTACATTGCAATTAAAACATAGTTCTACAGTGTCCAGAGATAAATTAACTAAAAGCATGACAACTCACATACAGTCCATTTTTTCAGTTGGATTAGAATTCCCTGCTGCATGGTTTTCCTTTCTGAAATGTGAAAACTTTTATAGAGCACCATAATTTAGAATTCTGTTCCACGAGTCCAGAAAGTGTGGCAACTTGGTAGTACTTTGCCACAAGATGGTTTGAAGCTAACATTATTTAATAACTGCTATGGTGTTATAAGATAGTTGAAGAAATTAGTAATCAGAAAGCTAAATTAACACAGACAAAAGTTTACTTAAGTTGTTTGACAGTTTTATGCAGCAGAATTGAAACATATTTTACTTGTTTTGTACATCTGAAGCAAACAATCTTCTTCTCTGAGGCCCAACAATGCAATTTCATGGAAAGTTGTACTAACCTTTTCCTAAGTAGGGCAGAGCACTAACCTTAAGCAAAGCAGGAGCCCTTGATTTTATAGTAAAAAATCATAAATCTCCCTATAAGACTATGGCACCATAGAAATGCTAATTTTTGCCTCTCAGGTTATTTCACCTTTAGTGGAGAAATGAATTGCTTATTCATATATATACAGACACCCACCCACCCCTTGTGCTAGAACATAAGTTTTTTGCTAGAGCACAACATTTCTTTCCACCTAACTGCTTGATTTCCTTTCCCCCCTCATATCCCCCAAGGTGTCAAAATAGACATGTTGATGAGAAAACATGTCTACATTTTAATAGAAGAGGTAGAATTAAGATAGTTGCAAATTACAGTCATCTGTACGCAAAGAAGCCAACCTGCAAGTCTTTTATAACTATAATTACACATTTAAGATTAAATCCTGTCATCAGTTTATGTGTGTGTAAGTTTTTATGTGTGAGCAACAGACTGCCATCCTGTATACACTTATCCAGGAGTAAGTCCTGTTGAAGTCAGTGGGATTTATTTCTGAGCAAGCATGCATAGGATTGTACTGCATATGCCGGATTACAGCATGAGAGTTAAAACTGATTTAATTGTACTTTTCTGATAAATGATTTTTTGATCGTCAGGACCTGTAGTATGTCTTCCAGAGCACATTACCTCATGTTGAAGTCACCATGTATTCAGAACCCCAATGTGCCCACTAGCTGTGATTCCCCCCCCTCCTTTACTTTCATGCAGTATTGGGACATTGCAGATGAGATCGTATTGCATTTTCATGAATGTAACAGATGTGACATAAACATTTGTTACTTGTCGGGAAGTTAATGCAAAGAAATCATTGGTCTCTGGCATGTGTGTTTTAGTATAATGCTTTGAGGACTGAAAATTGCATTTTAAGAACTTTCATAAAACTGAATTTATCACTAGCTAAACTTCGGTTCCAATCCTAAATAATTAAAGACAAAAAGCATCTCTCGTATCTTACTGTAGATTTAAAGTAAGTCAAACATTTGCATTTTTGCCTGTTTGGGCATAAGCCCATTGATTCCATTGCCTTTTAGACTGCAAATAGATTAAATGTGAAACAATGTTAGAATGTGTATTTTACCACCATATGTTGCTGAATTTATGAAAATTAATTGTGAAAGACAACTTAAACATTCAATTTTATACATGTCTACTCAGAAGTAGACCCTATTGAAATCAGTGGGACTAACTGCTAAGGTTAGGATAACAGCAGTAGCAGTGCTAGCTTTTATCACAAGGGTTCTACCAATGATTTCTTAGTGAATGGACCCAAACAAGGTGGTTTAGATTCCCAGTGAGTGAGGCTGAATGTTCACTTGAGATTGAGAGTCAACAAGTAACATACTGAAAAGTTGAATAAGGCCTTCAGAAATATAGTTCAAGAGGATAAGAAACCTTTAGGTAAAGGTTCACATTGCCTGTTTATTAATACATACCCCAAAAGTTCTGTTTTTGATACAGCAAAATATCGAGTAATCCAAGGGCTCACCCACACTTCCACTTGTCCCATGCCTAGAAAGCATGAGTCCAAGCTGCTTTCCGCTTGTCCCAAGGCTTGTTATGCACAGGTCTAAGCAGTTTTGCCATTGCCCCGCTGTTTTCCCATGGAAAACCTGTTCTTTAGTGCTAAATCAGAGCAAAGGTCAATCCAGAGCAAACCCGATGGATGTTTGCTCTGATTTAGCAGTAGAGATCAGGTTTTCCTAGGGGGAAGTGACAGGGCAAGTGGAAGTGTGGAAAGCCTTTTCAGACGTTGAGAATAAAACTGGTTTTAACAGAGGCTTTTCACCTTGTGAAACTTGGTAGTTCAGATAGGAAATGCATTGCTTGAAAACTAACAATTAATAGTATAGACGCGGGTGGCGCTGTGGGTAAAAGCCTCAGCGCCTAGGGCTTGCCGATCGAAAGGTCGGCGGTTCGAATCCCCACGGCGGGGTGCGCTCCCGCTGCTCGGTCCCAGCGCCTGCCAACCTAGCAGTTCGAAAGCACCCCCGGGTGCAAGTAGATAAATAGGGACCACTTACTGGCGGGAAGGTAAACGGCGTTCCGTGTGCTGCGCTGGCTCGCCAGATGCAGCTTTGTCACGCTGGCCACATGACCCGGAAGTGTCTCCGGACAGCGCTGGCCCCCGGCCTCTTGAGTGAGATGGGCGCACAACCCCAGAGTCTGTCAAGACTGGCCCGTACGGGCAGGGGTACCTTTACCTTTACCTATCTTGTTAATTTAAGACAGCGATAGAATGTTGCATATGGAATAGTGCTTTCAATGCACTTCAATGCAAATTACAGTGTTCAAAAAAGTAAAGTAAGATAGATGCTTTTTGCCTGTCAGACATTCAGATTTAAGGATGAGGGACACTGAACTCAGACACAGTGTGTCTTTTATATCTAACTCATCCAGGAAGAAAAAGTAGAGAGTGACAGAGGACTAAAAGGTAATCTTGAGCAAGTCAGTATCCCTAACCATATTTTAATCATGGTCAGAGTGCTATGATACAGATAGCCATGTCCACTTTTCCCAGACTTTTGTATAGTAGGATAATACCTTCAGCGTTCACATAATGACACAGACAGCCCTGGGCTTGCACATTCCCTCTCACACATGAGACAATGGCATTGGCCACTTCCACTGTTGGTGCTGAATAAACCACAGTTCTCCATTACAGTTGTACCTTGGAAGTCGAACAGAATCTGTTCTGGAAGTCCATTCAACTTCCAAAACGTTCGGAAACCAAAGCACGGCTTCTGATTGGCTGCAGGAAGCTACGGAAGTTCGCAGACCAGAACACTCACTTCTGGGTTTGTGATGTTTGGGAGCCAAAACGTTTGAAAACTAAGCTGTTCAAAAACCAAGGTACGACTGTATATCTGAATTTGGGAATTGTGGTTTCTTCTGTTTCTGGTTAGTTAACGAACTAGGCTCTGAAACGAGCACCTCATCTCGATTTGTATGAGGAAACCACATTTAGAATAAGCCACAATTTCCTGAGTTCAGACATAATTGGAAACTGCAGTTTATTCTAAAGTAGAAACATTTAAGGGGGAGGAGGGGGCACAAGCCTGAGGTTTGCTGCTGGTCATTTTCTAACATTTAGCATTGTGTTTGAACTGGGTCAATAATTTTATATAACTGGCCTCATTTTTTTCTTAACGGAGATGTGTTTCATTAATGTTAGCAGTGTTAGGAAATTGTTACTGGTAGAGCCATGATTTGTCCCCTTCTGCAATTCAACTCTGCAATAGTAATGAATTAAAAAATAACTTAGTGATTGCAGTTATTTATATCTCATCTTTCAGGATATAGATATTCCCAAGGTGCTTTTCTAAGAAAAAATACATTTAAAAAACCTCCACAGTAAACACTTACAAATCTCCAGGGTCCTTTCCAGGGCAGGTAGATGTCCCCGGGGGGTGGGGGTGGGGTGGGGTGGGGGGAGAGTTCAGCTGCAACAGGCTTTTACAACTCCTTCACCTGCCTTCTCTGACAATGAGACTGCAGTAGCAGATTACGTAAGAATTTGTACTTAAAATGCTAAAGCATTTCTCTCCCCTCCCCCTTCATGGAAATTTATTCTGAAATAAATTGGATTTGTATGCAATCATGTCAATCTGCTGCTGTTTAGATATTTGCTTTGGATACTTTCATTACCTGCAGTACACAACTTTGCCGCTATATTCAGTGGCTTGGGAAGGTGTTACTGAGATTTACAGGTATCGTCAACTTTTGGAAATAATGGCTCTCCAAAGCCTTCTTAAGCAAGAATACTTTATATATGGCCCTAAGAAGCCAGTGTACCCTGTCAGCATTGAAGGCCCTAGAGAGATTTCCCTGAGGGTAATTAAATCACTGACGCAGCAGTAGTTATTTGTTTTTACTTTGTAGGGGTTAATACTGGCTGATGTTCTGTTGGTTTGAGGTTTAAATGTCAACATAAATAAATAAATACTATATCTAGTGCTTCAGTATTTATTTAATCCCAGCATCCTTTCTCAAGGGCTGCTCCTTGCAGACTGAAGCAAGCAGAAGAATTTAGCTGAAAATAAAAACTAGCAGTTTTGGGGAATGCTTCATAGTGACTTTATTTTGTATATCACACTGCAACTCCCCCCCCCCCCTTGTACATTTCACTATTTTACCAGCTATCTTTCCATTAAGATCTGAATAGAAGTCAGTGTTTCTTTCATCTTTTTTGTCTCCAGGTTTCTTGCAGTGACACAGTTCTCTCCTACCCATGCCAGAAAAGCCTTTCCTTGCTTTGATGAGCCTATCTACAAGGCCACCTTCAAAATCAGCATCAAACATCAAGCAACCTATTTATCTTTGTCCAATATGCCTGTGGAAACTTCTGTTTTTGAAGAAGATGGATGGGTTACGGATCACTTTTCACAGACTCCGCTCATGTCCACATATTACCTAGCCTGGGCTGTTTGCAACTTTACATACCGTGAGACTACCACAAAGAATGGAGTTTTGGTAAGTATTTTATTTTATTTTTTTAATCGGCTTACATATATTTATTGAAAAACCTTCCTTTTTTGAGGGGGGGATGGAAATGACATGCCCCCCCAATGCTTGCATATTCATTATCTATTACATTTAAAGTCCTTTCTGCCTCCTGGTGAATCTGTTATAGTACAAGCAGAAAGAGCCTAGGATCAGGCTATTAATATCTGCCTTCGCTTTTCATTGCTGCTTCCATGTATGAACAAAGGTTATACAGATGTTTGTGAGAGGAATTTGTCTCTCTTAGAAGTGTTAAAGTGCATGGTTTTTTCTCCCTACAGTTCATGGCAATGATTTTTTTTTTTTTACAAGTAAACAATGCTTTTACATATATACATTCAGCCATCTCTCGTTGGAGCTGCTTCACATACTATCAGTTAGTACAGTGATGGCCAAACTTGGCCCTCCAGCTGTTTTGGGACTACAACTCCCATCATCCCTAGCTAACAGGACCTGTGGTCAGGGATGATGGGAATTGCAGTCCCAAAACAGCTGGAGGGCTATGTTTGGCCATCACTGAGTTAGTGTATATATTTCAAGTGTAGCTACAGTGCAGCTGATTACTTGAGGGAATGCTATAAGTTTGAGTTTTCTTTTCTGTGTGCATTCTACATGTACATTGTGTGTGGATCCAGTCTCAGGGCTAACTGTGGCTCCGTGTGGTATGTACACATGGTGAAAGAAAGGCATGACTTGCTGGTTTCTGTGTCCTGTGAAGTAGCACTTAGTTAACCAAATATTCTGTGGGTATAGTATAACACCAGTCTGTTTTCTGAGAATTCACATAAACTAAGAGCATTGTGATGCTAGACCACCCCTAAGCATGTACAGCATACTGCAACTCATGTGTGTGTGATAGCATGAAGATGACAGTGAGCGGCATAGTAGCTGTTGCTTATATTTCATTGACTGGCTCCATGTTGGCTAAACAGATCATTAGCTTAAAAGTAATTATTATCAGGAACAATAACCAGTATTTCTGTTGCAAAATGAAGTTGCCGTTGATTCTTTCTCGGGGCTGTAGTTAGCCAAGTCCTACAAAAGAGTAGACCTATTGAAATTAATGAACCTAAGTTAGCTATGTCTATTTACATCAGTGGATGTACTCTGAATAGGATCACTCTCAGGCTTTATTCAGTTACTACGGGAATAATTGTGGAACAACTTCTGCTTGGTCATTTGGACTTACCTCCCTCCCTTCTCACTTGCTCTGGTTGGGGGAAAACCCAGAACAGATTTAGCAGGCAAGTGGAGGGAGGAGAGGGGAGAGAGCCCCTTTTGCACAAGCAGAAGTTGCTTTGCTTACGCAAAGAGGTAGAAGAAGAGGAGTTTGGATTTGATATCTCGCTTTATCACTACCCGAAGGAGTCTCAAAGCGGCTAACATTCTCCTTTCCCTTCCTCGCCCACAACAAACACTCTGTGAGGTGAGTGAGGCTGAGAGACTTCAGAGAAGTGTGACTCCTCTGCAGCTGCATGTGGAGGAGCGGGGAAGCAAACCCAGTTCCCCAGATTACAAGTCCACCACTCTTAACCACTACACCACACTGGTACTTAGTGCTACTTTGAATATAACCCTTATCTAAAGGGCTATGCGTAGCTGGAATGTAAAATCTTGAAGGGGTTTCCAGCTGCGCTTTTGGATCATTAGGGAGTGACTTTGTAATGGTTTGCAGGTGTCACGCACAAGGTTCTGCAGAAGCATTTCTTTGTGGAGGCCGTACAGTATGCTTCTGAATGCCAGTTTCTAGGAACTGCAGAAGGGGAGAGTGCTATTATTCTCGAGTCCTGCTTGATGGTATCCTACAGGCATCTGGTTGGCCACAAGATGCTGGACTAGATGGGCCATTGGTCTGATCTATCAGGCTGCTCTTACATTATTTGCAAAGACTTCTTGTACGCACTGAATGGTTTATCCACAGACACCCTTCACTTGGTTCGCCACACTGAAGGAAACATTTGGTTGTCCTGGAATGTGGCTTAGGCTTATTGGCAGTGATCTAGGAGTTGCAATGTGTGTGAGAAGAAACAAAACTGTAAAACTGTTTACGTCAGTTTGTTTTGTTTTACAAATCTCATGTGCAGAACTGTGTAATAAGCCAAGCATTTCACCAGAAATTCTGCCAGCTAAATGTGTGTGTGTGTGTGTGTGTGTGTGTGTGTGTATATGTATATCACAACCTCCTGCCAATGCAGGGAGGAGGGACTTTTCCTTAGCAACAAGTTTAATCCACATAACAAAGCATATTTGTATTAGAATTGCTGATTGTGACTTGGGCCAAAGAGGTGGAAAGCATCTTCTGCACGCCTGCGAAAAATATCCAGTGTTTGTGTGATTTATTTTTTTTAAAGTACAGTGGTACCTCGGGTTACATACGCTTCAGGTTACATACGCTTCAGGTTACAGACTCTGCTAACCCAGAAATAGTGCTTCAGGTTAAGAACTTTGCTTCAGGATGAGAACAGAAATCATGCTCCGGCGGCGCGGCGGCAGCAGGAGGCCCCATTAGCTAAAGTGATGCTTCAGGTTAAGAACAGTTTCAGGTTAAGAACGGACCTCCGGAACGAATTAAGTACTTAACCCGAGGTGCCACTGTAATGAACTCTGGAGTGTTTTTTCCTTTGGTGTGGGTGTTCTCTAAAAGCAGATAGTCAGGATCTGAGGGTAGAGCTTTTCCAAAACATGTAGCACAGCCCCTCCGTAGAACATTATGGTGAAGGGCAGGTAATAAAGAATAAACAATAGTAGTAGTAAATGTGTGTAGGATTTCAGTCTTCTGTTTGTTGGGCTGCATATCAAAACCAGTGTTAAGTGTATTAGAATTTGCTTGGCTGCTAGTTTGAACGATGTATTTTGTCTTCTCTCCCTGGAGAAATGCCTTGTAACCTAAAGATTCTGCTACTTATGCCTTAGCTTTCATGTTGAGCTGTAGCTGAGGTCCATATCATAACCATCTTGGCATTTTACTTACTAGTTCAATTTCAGCTGTATTGAGTGGCAAGTCAAGATAGTCCAAAAGCAGCAATAACCAGCCATGCTATTTTTTAGGCTGTCTTCTGTGGCTACACTGAAAGGACTTGGTGGCCTCACTGAATTAACCTCTACCTTCAAAAGATCTTTTTCTTAATTGTAGTACATCATACTTGTAATGGCGAAGAAGTACTTAAGTGATTTGGTCAGGGGAAAACAAAGCATTTCTGCTGCAGCAGTCAAGGGCTCTTGTTGCTTGTTATAGCAAAGGTTCTCTTTTTACCTGCGTCGAAATAAGAGCTGATGACTTGCACTTGAATAGGTCTCAAATTCCATGAAGTAGAGAGCAGTGATGCACAAGCACATTAATTTGTGAGAGCATTGTAAAAATATTGTGGATTAACAAAGCTCATCATTAACCGTCTTTGTCTCATAGAAGTTTTATATAAAACAAAAATGCCAGGTACAACCATTCTGTATGCTGCCAGAGTATTGAAATATTCCAGTTTCCACTACAGGTGCACATAACATATTATATAGGATGGATTAAAGCATGTGTGGAAGGAGAGCTGAAATTTACTGCCCCACCGCACACCATGCAGTGTTGTGGGCTGCACTCACTTCTAGGTGACAAAGTTGCACATACTTCCATAGGCCAGAAGATCAAGCTGTTGGATTTGCAAGTGGGTAGTACAGTTATACCTTGGGTTACAGACGCTTCAGGTTGTGTTTTTTCGGGTTATGGACCTGCTGAAGCCCGGAAGTACCGGAACGGGTTACTTCTGGGTTTCGGCGGTCACGCATGCGCAGAAGCACTAAATAGTGCTTTGCACATGCACAGAAACGCTGATTCGCAACCCGCGCGTGCGCAGACACGGCACTGTGGGTTGCGAATGCTGCGGGTTGCGAACGTGCCTCCTGCACAGATCACATTCACAACCCGAGCGTCCACTGTACTCTTCTTATGCTAAGTGGTACGGGTGCTATTGCAAGTTAGAGCCAGTGTTTAGTATTTGGCTGCCATATAGAACTTAACTATGTAAGTTCAATAAATAATAAGTATAGAAGAGTAGTCCAGAACATATCTGCCCTCTGAAGATAGGCTAATGATTTAAAGACATTTAAGTCATGGATTCAAACCTGTTTGACATTCAATACGCCAGAACACATATTTAACATATATTTTATTTTGATTGAAGTGTGCTACAAAGTGAGAGAAGAAATGGTTAAGGTGCTCTGTCTCCTAAACAGCTACCCAGTTAAAAGAGTAGTAATAGTTGCTGTCATAATGGTATAAGTAATAATAATAATAAGTAATAATATTACTTATAATATAAGTAATATATAAGTAATAATAATAATAATAATAATAATAATAATAATAATAATAATAATGGCAAAGTTATAATCGGTGGTTGCAAAAACCAATGATCCCTATATTCTGAACAAAATGCTTGTTTAACCTGGAGGTAGGCTGTATGAATTGTGCATTGCTTTGTAACGATTTGTTGGGTCTCTGGACCGTAATAAAGATTGTTGTTGTAATAATAATAATAATAATATAGCACAGAACATCCGAGAAAGCTCAAGGAAATGACCTGGCATCTTGAAGGGAAAGCCATGCTTTCTTCTTTCTTTTGCACCTTCCTGAATGCCCCACCACTAGCTAATCTTGTTATGGGACAAAACTCTTGAACTCCAATCTGATGGTTAATCTGAACATGATTCCAGGCTGGTCAGCTGAGCACAGCCAAGAGAAAACTCCGTCGCTTTGGCATGCTTACTCTACACAGCATGCCACTTCAACTAAGTGGTTCTTTCAAGCTTCATCGGAAAGGAGAAAATTACAAGATACTGTAGAGAGAGAAAGGGGAAAATAAATCCCTAGTGCCATTTGGTATTGCTGTTAGTCAGTTTACATGCATCAAGCTTGCACACAGGCTGGCACAGTATGTGTACAGCAGCCAAAGGGCATCCTTTTGGAGGCATGCGGAAGAAAA